GCTATATATTTAGGTGTACCACATTGTCCTTCTGTATTACAGCTATGTGAAGGTGTACCTCATTGTCGTTCTTTATTACAGACATATTTGGCTGTACCACATTATCGTTCTGTATTACGGCAATGTGAAGGTGTACTACATTGTCGTTCTGTATTACAGTTATGTGAAGGTGTACCTCATTGTCGTTCTGTATTATTGCTATGTGAAGGTTTACTACATTGTCGTTCTGTATTACAGATATGTGAAGGTGTACCTCATTGTCGTTCTGTATTACAGCTATGTGAAGGTGTACTACATTGTTGTTTTGTATTACAGCTATGTGAAGGTTTTCCACATTGTCATTCTGTATTACAGATATGTGAAGGTGTACTACATTGTCGTTCTGTATTACAGATATGTGAAGGTGTACTACATTGTCGTTTTGTATTACAGCTTTGTGAAGGTTTTCCTCATTGTCATTCTGTATTACAGATATGTGAAGGTGTACTACATTGTCGTTCTGTATTACAGCCTTGTGAAGGTGTACTACATTGTCGTTCTGTATTACAGCTATGTGAAGGTGTACTACATTATTGTTCTGTATTACAGCTTTGTGAAGGTGTACTACATTGTCGTTCTGTATTACAGATATGTGAAGGTGTACTACATTGTCGTTCTGTATTACGGCTTGGTGAAGGGGTACCTCACTGTCGTTTTGTATTACAGCCATATGAAGGTGGACTATATTGTCTTTCTGTATAACAGCCATATAAAGGTTTACTATATTGTCGTTCTGTTTTAAAGCTTTATGAATGTGTACCTCATTGTTGTTCTGTATTACACTGTACAGCTATATATTTAGGTGTACCACATTGTCGTTCTGTATTACAGCTATGTGAAGGTGTACCTCATTGTTGTCTGTATTACAGCTATGTGAAGGTGTACTTCATTGTCGTTCCGTATTACAGCTATGTGAAGGTGTACCTCATTGTTGTCTGTATTACAGCTATGTGAAGGTGTACTTCATTGTCGTTCCGTATTACAGCTATGTGAAGGTGTACCTCATTGTCGTTCTGTATTACAGCTATTTGAAGGTGTACCTCATTGTCGTTCCGTATTACAGCTATGTGAAGGTTTACCTCATTGTCGTTCTGTATTACAGCTATGTGAAGGTGTACTTCGTTGCCGTTCTGTATTACAGCTATTTGAAGGTGTACCTCATTGTCGTTCTGTATTACAGCTATATGAAGGTTTACCTCATTGTCGTTCTGTTTTACAGCTATGTGAAGGTGTACTTCGTTGTCGTTCTGTATTACAGCTATTTGAAGGTGTACCTCATTGTCGTTCCGTATTACAGCTATATGAAGGTTTACCTCATTGTCGTTCTGTATTACAGCTATGTGAAGGTGTACGTCGTTGTCGTTCTGTATTACAGCCATATAAAGGTGTACCTCATTGTCGTTCTGTATTACAGCTATATGAAGGTGTACCTCATTGTCGTTCTGTACTTCAGTTATTTGAAGGTGTACCTCATTGTCGTTCCGTATTACAGCTATTTGAAGGTGTAGCTCATTGTCGTTCCGTATTACAGCTATTTGAAGGTGTACCTCATTGTCGTTCCGTTTTACAGCTTTTTGAAGGTGTACCTCATTGTCGTTCCGTATTACAGCTATATGAATGTGTACTTCATTGTCGTTTTGTATTACAGCTATGTGAAGGTGTACCTCATTGTTGTTCCGTATTACAGCTATGTGAAGGTGTACCATATTGTCGTTCCGTATTACAGCTATATGAAGGTGTACCTCATTGTCGTTCTTTACTACAGGTATGTGAAGGTGTACATGTACCTCATTCACAAATTTTTAACGTATTTCCTTTTTTTTAATAGCTTAACGAGATCACGCCCTATTTAGACGGGACTTTAATATATGGGCCTGCTAAGGCGTGGACAGATGCTATCAGGGCGTTTAAAGACGGAAAACTTAAGGCGAGCAACCCGGATGATCCAATCAAGGACAGTTTCCCCGCCAAGAACACCATCCGACTGCCTTTCGCCAACCCTCCGGCACCACGACAGCATACACTAAGGCCAGTGTCCAGATTCCTGAGTAAGTCACAACACATTATTGATTCTGTTCACGCAATGCCAAGTCATGAAAGATAGTTGAAGCTGTAATTATACACAATTCCACTATATTCCTTTGGTCGCGTTGGATGTTATATACAACGGTAAGATACTCGTCACGTCTTACGTGAGTTGATGTATGTATGCCAAAACTCTTTTGAGGACTATCATTTAATTGTTCTGGTCATTATACTACTTACATCATTGTACCATTGTATTGGGATTGTAGTTCTATAAATCGTCCACATTATATAAATATGTCACTTCATGTATTTTTAGTTCCCCTTGTAATTTTAAGAAAGCTAGTTTCGTACTTTTATTTCACCCTTAAGCTAAAGTGAGACTTACGATTTTTCGAAAGTGCTGTAATTGACGTATCCTACGAATGTTTTTTTAAGCTATCGGTAACCCGAGAGGTAATGAAAATCCCATGCTGCTGACATTTGCAATACTCTTCTTCCGTTGGCACAACAAGATCGCCGAGGATTTAAAGATTGATCATCCGACTTGGGGGGATGAGGCCCTGTTCGAAGAGGCCCGGAAACTGGTCATAGCCCACCATCAGGTAAGGAGGCCCGGAAACTGGTCATAGTCCTACATCAGGTAAGGAGGCCCGGAAACTGGTCATAGCCCACCATCAGGTAAAGAGGCCCGGAAACTGGTCATAGTCCTACATCAGGTATAGAGGTCCGGAAACTGGTCATAGCCCAGAATCAGGCAAGGAGGCCCGGAAACTGGTCATAGCCCATAATCAGGTAATAAGGAGGCACGGGAACTTGTCATAGCCCAATCAGGTAATGAGGCCCGGAATCTGGTCATATCATGTGATCAGCTGAGAGGGCCAGGACTGTGGTTCAAGCACACCTTTTGTTTTGATGAGAAAACCTGGAGTCGGTTTAATGCACATTTGATATATACTCCATTGAGCTCGATGGTGTCCTGTAATGTCACGTGAGGAGGGATGAGAAACGACAAATGACATAGATCCCACTGCGTTCACAGCTCTAGGGGCGCATTGTTTTCTGGTAATGTTTATGTATCGGAAATGAAAATATGCATGGTTTGAAGCTGGGCCCCTATTCATGAAACCGTTCTCATACTCAAGCGTGATTTCTGTGCTCAAGCCGACTTTCTTGTAACTCGCTTAAATAATGTAATACGGTCAAAAAGTGTTAACATTGAAAGCAGTATCCGGTTCAATTTCTTTCCAGATTCCTTACAGATCATTGAGAAGATAGGCTTATTTGTATAAATTCATCACTGCACAAGAATTCGGGCTTGAGCACAGAATCTGAGTTTGAGCATGAGAACAGTTTCATGAATACGGGCCCCGGAATTTCTCCACATCCATGCATTCAAAATTGCATTTTTTTTTTATTATGAATGGTAAACAAATGTACTATTAATTTAAGCTTGAATAAGGTAAACAGAAGACATATCTACTGTTCAGTCGATGATAATTATAATAATATGCAACATTTATATAGCGGCCTATATCACTTTTTTTTTTAACTTTAAGACGCTTTACAACAAATGAATACAAGTATTCCTACATAATTCCGTTATAGATATACTAAATAATAATAGCGTACACATCAGCATTATACAGTACCAGACAAGTATATTCATATCGATGATGTCATGACATCAATTTGTGGAGATTGTTGTATGCGACATATTTTTACAAGCAATACCTAATTTATTAAAAAGGTCAAAATGTTTCTTAAAATTGCCAGACAATCCAGTAAGATGGAATTTCGAAGTATTCTACTACTGTGAACTACTTGTACGCGTACGGTTGTCGATAGGGGACATGCTGATATGTTTTTATCATGAGTGTGTTTTATTTTATCCTAATTGTCGACAAGTCGGCAAGCACATTACAAAAATTACCTCCAAAAGGTCATTTCAATGGAGTAGGTAATAACTATGAAAGAATGTTGCTTGCTTTCATACGTTAAATGTCACAACAATGCTGCTGATATGTTTGTAGAATATCGTGATGTACGACTGGCTACCATTGTGGTTGGAGATCGATGCCACTGGGAAACCTCTAGCAATCCCTCCCTACATTAGAACAAGGAGTACACGTATGTATAATAAGTTAACACACATACAGTAGAATATGTATATGTCCGATCTTGTCCGATACTCATTGATTGGCCATTGCGTAAAATGAATGTTAGAATTTTAATGTGAAAATATGAAGGAAGAATACAACCGTTTGATTTGATGGTGATGCAATTAGCCAATGGACTAATGTGACGCCGGTTGACGCCAAAGTGGCCATCCCTTTAACCCCTTTAGCCCCAAGTATGTACAACATCGGGTACATTTCAGCTCCTGGGATAAAGTAATGTGTTCGTCCGTGTTAATTAAAATTCATTGCAGATAACGATCACCAGTTAAAAAAGGATTAAGTCTAAATGCCCCATCAACTATAAAAGGTCGTACAGGAACACCAGTAAAATAGGAATAAGTCTAAATGTTCCATTAATTAAATAAGTTCAAACAGATACACCAGTAAAATAGGATTAAGTTTAATTGTTCGATCAATTAAATAAGGTCAAACAGATACATTAGTAAAATAGGATTAAATTTAAATGTCCAATTAATCAAATAAGGTAAAACAGATACACTAGTAAAATAGGATTAAGTTTAAATGTTTATTAATTAAATAAGGGCAAACAGATACATTAGTAAAATAGGATTAAATTTAAATGTCCAATTAATCAAATAAGGTCAAACAGAGACACTAGTAAAATAGGATTACGTTTAAATGTCCAATTAATTAAATGAGGTCAAACAGATACACTAGTAAAATAGGATTAAGTTTAAATGTTTAATTAATTAAATAAGGTCAAACAGATACACCAGTAAAATAGGATTAAGTTTAAATGCCCCATTAAATTAAATAAGGTCAAACAGATACACCAGTAAAAATGGTGATTAAATACACTATACAGATAACAGATATGGATTGTACATAGACGTTAAATATACAGTACAGATAAGATATGGATCGTACATAGACGTTAAATATACAGTACAGATAAGATATGGATCGTACATAGACGTTAAATATACTGTACAGATAATATATGGATCGTACATAGACGCTAAATATACAGTACAGATAAATATATGGATCGTACATAGACGCTAAATATACTGTAAAGATAATATATGGATCGTACATAGACGTTAAATATACAGTACAGATAATATATGGATCGTACATAGACTTTTGATACATACATTGATGAAAAACTGCAGCTACGTAATGGAAACTTTTTTTCTGCATGACTTTAGCTTAAATAACTCATTTCTAAAAAGAAAATCACACACCGTGGGACTTTTATGAAAAAAAACCCAATGAAGATGAAATAAACAAAAATATAATGTAGGCGTTCTTAGCGAAAACAACTGTGGTCCTAGACCAGGATTCGAACCCACTTCAGGTTAAATTTTATAATAGCATGTTAAATGAGGTTTTCAGTGTTCTTAAGCTTGAGAAGGCAAAATATTGTTTTTCATCTCGTTAAATGTTGTCTCTTCTTTTTAAGAATGCGCCGAGTATTGTGGGTTCAACGGATACAGTTCTGAAATACATCCGGGCATTACACAGGAGTTTCAGACCGCCGCCATGCGGTTTGGACACACCCTGGTCACTCCTGGGCTCTGGTTAAGGTCAGTTCTTTAATGGAGACAGTTATGAGTATTTATACACGAAACTTATATAATATACCACGTTGACGCCAAACATTTCAGTTAACCAGAGCTACCTCCCCTCATTTGTATCCATCAGATTTAGTTCCCCTCATTCCCGTCTATCACATTCTTACCTCTCAGTATAACATCTTGATATTCTTATCGATCGGAGTTAGCTCCCCTCATTTTCAGTTCAGTAAACGAATATTTGATTGGTTCGTTTGGAGTTTCGGAATGATCTCCTGTTTACATTGTCCACGTAGAAGAGATTCTAATTCATCAGAGTGATTTCACCTTTTTATTTCGTCTATCAAAGTTATCCGCCCTCATTGAACACATTTATTAAAGTAACCTGCCCATAATTTTATCTATCATATATACTTCCCTCAATCTTATTTAGCTGATTGGCCTCGTCCGTGTTTTACTTTGCAGTAAGTGTGTCGTTTAAATGCCGCTAATTTTGTTATTACAGAGGACCTATGAGTAGGACCAGCTGTAACTGGAAACCCGTCAAAGTGACCATACAAGGACAGCCTGGTGAGGTACACGCCCTCCGCCTGTGTAACGCCTACTGGAACTCACAGGTATGGTTGAGTAACTGGGAATCAATACAAAGTGGATTCGAACTCACACATTTCTATATTAGTGAGGTTTATCGCTTACGGAACATTTTCTACGTACATACAACATCTTGTCTTGTTAATGTCATATTGTGTTTATGTTAATGTCAGTGTTTCATTAAGGTCAGTTTTTAGCTCACCTGCCCGAAGGGCTAGTGAGCTTATGCCATGGTGCGGCGTTTGTCGTCCGGCGTCCATCGGCCGTTAACTTTCCTTTTAAATGACTTCTTCTGAAGAATGGACAAGCATAAAGTCATGATATGTGGGTGATAACTTCGTTGGTAAGAGCCCAACAAAGTTTGAGAATGAAAATGACCTTGACGTACTTTCAAGGTAACAGGGGTCAAAAGTTTCAAATACTTATAATGACTTCTTCTGAAGAACTGATAGGTACATAATCTTAATATGTGGTTTGTAGCTTTGTTGGAAAGAGCCGAACAAAGTTTGAGAACCACAATAAACTTGACCTACTTTCAAGATCACAGGTGTCAAAAGTGTCAAATACTTCAAACGACTTCCTCTGAAGAACTGAAAGGCATATAATCCTAATATGGTAAACAATTCAAACGACTTCCTCTAAAGAACTGAAAGGCATATAATCCATATATGTTAAACAATTCAAACGACTTCTTCTGAAGAACTGAAAGGTAAAGAATTATAAAATTTATCTGGTAGCTTCAATACATAAAGCCTGGCACAGTTTGCGAATTAAATTTACCTTAACCTACTTTCAAGGTCACAGGGGTCAAATATGTCAAATTTGTCAAACTACTTTTTCTGAATAATCGAAATGCATAGAATCATATTTGGCTGGTTGCTTCTTGGGATTGAGCCTGACAATGTTTGCGAAAAAAAATGACATCAAACTACTTTCAAAGTCACAAGAGTCAAATATGTCAAACACTTCAAATGACTTCTTCTGAATAATCTAAAGGCATAACCCGACAAATTTTGCTTTTGTAAATTACATCAATTTACTTTCAAGATCATAGGGGTCAAATATAGCAAAAACTGCACACAGCTTCTTTTGAAGAAGTGAAAGGCATGGAGTCGTGGTATTTAACAAGTAGCTTCCTGAGATTGAGCCCAACAAAGTTTGTGAATGAAAATGACCTTTACCTACTTTATCCTATAGCTTTATCTTAATCTGATTTGTCAATGGAAGTGTTTTGTCTACCAAAGTATCAACATGTGACACTTGACCTCTCTTCAATAAATGTAACTAAATTACAATGTTTAAACCTTATGTGAAAGCAGAAGTAAGGTAAAACACTTGTTTTATATCAGTAGCTGTAAAGTTTCAATAATGACTGTGTTTTATAAGTGGCAGTATATTGTTTATGTAAGTATTTTGATAATGTAATTGTTCCGTTAATTACAGTGTTTCGTTAATGACAGTGATTTGTTAGTGACAGAATTTTAATGACTCAGAAAACATTTATATGTATAGGGAAGATAGAGCGAAGAATGACGAATGTCTGCGATTTCCAGAGATTCAATAATTACGTCTGGGATAATGTTTGGGCTATGTGATTCCTATTTGACAGGACACGGTCGAACCTCAGTTAGACGATCTTGTCCGTGGTATGACGTCAACACTGGCGGAGAAGGAGGACCATATTATGGTGCCGGATTTACGAGGTATGTACAACTCCCTTAAAGGCAGATAACTAACTGATGTACCTTTAAAAGTGAGATTGACCATGACAGCTAACTTGAAACATTTAAGGCCATATCATTGATATTTGAGTCTTACAATGAACTAAAAATTACGTTTTTTGCTCTGTCACATAATAAAACACAAATACATGTATGCTTAGAGGATTTCCTACCGAACCAAATTAGTAAGTTTAGAAACGATTGTTTGGCTAGTAACTTCCATTACAGAGTTGAATAGCGTCCTTAATTCTACAGAACCAGCCTAATTATATCGTATAAGTGTGATCAGTACAGTACAACGGTGTATTTTAGGTTATCAACAAATCTTTTCCTATAAGTCTAAAGGTGCTCAACACTTCAGGGATTGACGCCATTCATCATTACACATAATTTTTAATGTTAATCAAGCAAAAATTGACATTAGAAGATCATACTCCTGTATATTATAATGAAAGAACACATGTATAAATATTCGATGGCTGTGTTTGAATTTTAAAAGGAAATATCTTTCAAGTTTCATAAACAAAATGAAGTAATGTTGTCACATATAAGTTTAATTGGGGAATACATCATTTTAATTTCAAGAAAACTGCAAAAATAGAAACTTATGAATTTTCTCTTAAACCAAACATGTGAAAACCACATTTCATGGCCCTATCCTAATCCCCTGATTCTGTTTCGTTGTCGCGCCCTAAGGGCATTACATTACTTCAAATCGTCTTTGTTCCCTGAAACCATACTGATAAAAGAGATATTCAACTTAATCGATAAAACCCCTCATAAGGGAAATGTTGACCGTCTTTGCTATCTTATAAGGGAAGTGCTTATCATCTCTGTTATGTGTCAAAGATCGAAAAGGTTAAACAAATAAAGACTGAAAATGTATAAGTACAGGTATAACAATGAACAATCGACCATATTTCACATCCCAATAATTCTTTATGTCTTTGTCTCAACCTCAAAATGAGTACGTTTTGCACCAGGCCTATTATATATGAAAATACTGACATGTTTCTTTGCATGTAATTAAATGGGTTTTTCACGACACCTGAAACTTTATTCTAGTATTGCTTATTGTTTTTCTTGTACGAGTTTTCAGGTTGTTGGTCAAAGACGGTGGAAAAGGAGTATAACTTTATCTAATCGGTTATTTTTTCAGATCACGTGTTCGGTCCCCTGGAATTTTCTCGTCGTGACCTTGGTGCAATCAATATTCAGCGGGGTCGGGATCACGGGATAGCGGGATACAATGCCGTCCGAATGGCATATGGTCTGCCAAAGAAAACTTCGTGGAGGGACATCAATCCCGATCTTGAGGACAGTCTCGGGGTGAGGATTGAACTTCCATACCATCGCACGACCGCGTCTTCGATTATGAAAATTTACTGTTCTTTCTTGTTAGCCGATTTGTCCACGCAAAGACATACATTTGAAAAAAGTTAATAATTAGTTAATGTTACTTAAAACCATATTTATAAATTCTGCATTTGACTAAGAAATGATTTATAGAAAATAAAAACCGCAGTTATATATCTGAAACTTAGCTACCTCTCCGAAACGTAAGATGATGTCTAAAGTAGAAAAATGAAATGACGTTACAATAAGGTATTTGTGGTTTTGAAACAGTCAAATAAAACAGGCAATACAATCTTGTATCATAGCAAATAATATTTTCAGCAGAAATTTAAGAAGAAATATGAACAAAATAAAATGATTAGGTATCTATTTCTTGAAGGTATTGACTGAACTTCAAAAACTCTATGGGAACGCAACGCAACCTGACGAGCTGGACATTTTCTCTGGTGGACTCCTCGAGACGACCCTGAACGGTCCTGGAGACCTGTTTAAAGCCATTATGCTTGAACAATTCCTCAGGATTAGACATGGTGACCGCTTTTGGTTCGAAAACACAGAATCGAGGTAAGAACATCCCCTGATCATCATTAGATGTTATCACAGAATTAACTCTATCTATCTTATTTGAATGCAAATAACCTTTGTAAACTTCTTCGGAAGAAAAGCGTGTTTCCAGAATAGCTTAACATGTAGAGATATATGTTATGATTAGTTATATAAAATTTAAATGAAGTGACGACGATTTCGCAGGAGTTCCTGGAAAACCTTACACAATTTTTATTGTATTAACAGATTTCGACGATTCACAGATTCCCAAATCAACGAAATCAGAAGGATCACACTCCGCGATATCATACTAAACGTGACGAATGTTCTGGACTCGGAAATATCTGCCAATGTCTTCCTGCACAACGGTTTTACAGGTGTTTATAATACTTGGGTAGATTGGTACTGTAGACAGGAGTGATGACTCGCTTAGAGTTGTAGGTGGTGAAGGTTGAGATCAGGTTGGTAGGATTGTGTAGGAGGAAAGTGCTGGAGTGACCAGCACATGTATGTGTGGGTCTTGGGAGGAGACTGGGCATTGTAAGTGTGGACGGAGGGAGCGACGCGGGAAAGGAACGATTAGTTATGATATAGTACGTGAATAAGATATCAAAACTTACATTTCCGCAAGGAAAGCGACTGTACATATGTATGTTGTTAAGAGTAATGTGTCATTGCCGATGGATGTCCACTATACAAAGGACTACGTGTTTTTTTACAATACATATTGTGCTTACAGATCCGTGTCCTCAACCTGAACAACTGGCAGCAGACACCGGGAAGGCACGAGATGGCATGGTTGTCATAGAAAATTGTACTACAGTTCAACACTACGATTACTTCTATGGAAGTGAGGCGTCATTTCCCTTGACTTTTCTAGCGTTGGGACTCTGTGTCCCAGGTAAGTTTACCGAGAACAAGGTTACAATACCTTCACCTTGGTAACAGTTGGCCAAGTTGCAGAATAATGTGACTTCTAATTATTCTTAATAGGAACAGGTGTTATCATAAATAGCTTTCCTGTATTTTTAATGACAATAATTGACATCTTAAAGGAGAAGAAATTTGTAAAACATTAAAAGATATATGTATACATATTATATTTGTCATTCGTTATACAGAAAATGCACTTAAATTATTTTTTCATTTGTGATTTTCTTACGAACTCTGTATTGTCTGGAAGAAAGATCAGATGATTCGTAAAAAATTCCGACATGAAGTCTTTATTCTTAAAGTGATAAATGCCTAATTAGATAAATGCAACATGGTGTCAAGTGGAAGACATGTATTCCAAAGAAGTTATTTATTTGCAGGAGTCATAGGGATTATGTTGCTGATGGTAAAAATACGCCAGAAACGAATTCAAGAAGCTAGGAAGAGAATGGCACCTAAGCAAAGAGCCAAGAGTAACGACCCAAACACATTTGACGGTAATTTTATGACAGATATACTAATTTAACAGAAATTAATGGGTAGAAACAATATATTTGGTACTGGAACGAACGTTGTGATAACAGAATAGGCGGTTTAGGACTCCTTGGATGATGATGTATTTTTATACAGCTTTTTAATTACATAAACCTCTCTGTTATCTAAGCTGGGAACAATGATCCTTATATTCATTATAAAATATATTCCTTAATCAAACAAACAAAAATAGAAAGATTTTGAGGACAGCGAAGACATGCACCATACATTTAGGCATTTCAATTTTATAGAATAGCATATACCACATGAGACCTTGGAGTCGTTGTGTCAGTTTTATAGAATAGCATGTACCACATGAGACTTTCGAGTCGTCGTGTCAGTTTTATAGAATAGCATGTACCACATGAACCTTCGAGTCGTCGGGTCAGTTTTATAGAATAGCATGTACCACATGAACCTTCGAGTCGGCGAGTCAGTTTTATAGAATAGCATGTACCACATGAGACCTTCGAGTCGTCGTGTAAGTTTTATAGAATAGCATGTACCACATGAGACCTTCGAGTCGTCGTGTCAGGTTTATAGAATAGCATGTACCACATGAACCTTCGAGTCGTCGAGTCAGTTTTATAGAATAGCATGTACCACATGACACCTTCAAGTCGTCGTGTCAGTTTTATAGAATAGCATGTACCACATGAACCTTCGAGTCGTCGTGTCAGTTTTATAGAATAGCATGTACCACATGACACCTTCAAGCCGTCGTGTCAGTTTTATAGAATAGCATGTACCACATGAACCTTCGAGTCGTCGAGACAGTTTTATAGAATAGCATGTACCACATGACACTTTCGAGTCGTCGTGTCAATTTTATAGAATAGCATGTACCACATGAGATCTTCGAGTCGTCGTGTAAATTTTACAGAATAGCATGTACCACATGAGACCTTCGAGTCGTCATGTAAATTTTATAGAATAGCATATAACACATGAGACCTTCGAGTCGTCGTGTCAATTTTATAGAAAAGCATGAACCACATGAGATCTTCGAGTCGTCGTGTAAATTTTATAGAATAGCATGTACCACATGAGACCTTCGAGTCGCCGTGTCAATTTTATAGAATAGCATGTACCACATGAGATCTTCTAGTCGTCGTGTCAATTTTATAGAATAGCATGTACCACATGAGAACTTGAGTCGTCGTGTCAATTTTATAGAATAGCATGTACCACATGAGACCTTCGAGTCGTAGTGTCAATTTTATAGAATAGCATGTACCAAATGAGACCTTCGAGTCGTTGTGTCAATTTTATAGAATAGCATGTACCACATGCGACTTTCGAGTCGTCGTGTCAGTTTTATAGAATAGCATGTACCACATGCGACTTTCGAGTCGTCGTGTCAGTTTTATAGAATACCATGTACCCGTCGTGTCAGTTTTATAGAATAGCATGTACCACATGAGACTTTCGAGTCGCCGTGTCAGTTTTATAGAGTAGCATGTACCACATGAGAACTTCGAGTCGTCGTGTCAGGTTTATAGAATAGCATATAACACATGAGACCTTCGAGTCGTCGGGTCAGTTTTATAGAATAGCATGTACCACATGAGAACTTAGAGTCGTCGTGTCAATTTTATAGAATAGCATGTACCAAATGAGACCTTCGAGTCGTCGTGTCAATTTTATAGAATAGCATGTACCACATGAGACCTTCGAGTCGTCGTGTCAGTTTTATAGAATAGCATGTACCACATGAGACCTTCGAGTCGCCGTGTCAATTTTATAGAATAGCATGTACCACATGAGAACTTCGAGTAGTCGTGTCAATTTTATAGAATAGCATGTACCACATGAGACCTTCGAGTCGCCGTGTCAGTTTTATAGAATAGCATGTACCACATGCGACTTTCGAGTCGTCGGGTCAGTTTTATAGAATAGCATGTACCACATGAGACCTTCGAGTCGTCGTATCAATTTTATAGAATAGCATGTACCACATGAGACCTTCGAGTCGTCGTATCAATTTTATAGAATAGCATGTACCACATGAGACCTTCGAGTCGCCGTGTCAATTTTATAGAATAGCATGTACCACATGAGACCTTCGAGTCGTCGTATCAATTTTATAGAATAGCATGTACCACATGAGAACTTCGAGTCGCCGTGTCAATTTCATAGAATAGCATATACAACATGAGACTTTCGAGTCGCCGTGTCAGTTTTATAGAATAGCATGTACCACATGAGACCTTCGAGTCGCCGTGTCAATTTCATAGAATAGCATATGCAACATGAGACTTTCGAGTCGCCGTGTCAATTTTATAGAATAGCATGTACCACATGAGTCTTTCGAGTCGTCGTGTCAGTTTTATAGAAAAGCATGTACCACATGAGAACTTCGAGTCGTCGTGTCAATTTTTTAGAATAGCATGTACCACATGAGACCTTCGAGTCGCCGTGTCAGTTTTATTGAATAGCATGTACCACATGAGACCTTCGAGTCGCCGTGTCAGTTTTATTGAATAGCATGTACCACATGAGACCTTCGAGTCGCCGTGTCAGTTTTATTGAATAGCATGTACCACATGAGACTTTCGAGTCGTCGTGTCAGTTTTATAGAATAGCATATACCACATGAGACCTTCGAGTCGTCGTGTAAATTTTATAGAATAGCATGTACCACATGAAACATTCGAGTCGTCGTGTCAGTTTTATAGAATAGCATATACCACATGAGACCTTCGAGTCGTCGTGTCAATTTAATAGAATAGCATGTACTACATGAGAACTTCGAGTCGTCGTGTCAGTTTTATAGAATAGCATATAACACATGAGACCTTCGAGTCGTCGTGTCAATTTTATAGAATAGCATGTACCACATGAGAATTTAGAGTCGTCGTGTCAATTTTATAGAATAGCATGTACCACATGAGACCTTCGTGTCGCCGTGTCAATTTTATATCGTGTCAATTTTATAGAATAGAATGTACCACATGAGAACTTCGAGTCGTCGTGTCAATTTTATAGAATAGCATGTACCACATGAGACCTTCGAGTCGCCGTGTCAGCTTTATTGAATAGCATGAACCACATGAGACTTTCGAGTCGTCGTGTCAGTTTTATAGAATAGCATGTACCACACGAGAACTTCGAGTCGTCGTGTCAGTTTTATAGAATAGCAGGTACCACATGAGACTTTCGAGTCGCCGTGTCAGTTTTATAGAATAGCATGTACCACATTATACTTACGAGTCGCCGTGTCAGTTTTATAGAATAGCATGTGCCACATGCGACTTTCGAGTCGTCGTGTCAGTTTTATAGAATAGCATGTACAACATGAGAACTTCGAGTCGCCGTGTCAATTTTATAGAATAGCATGTACCACATGATACTTTCGAGTCGCCGTGTCAGTTTTATAGAATAGCATGTACCACATGCGACTTTCGAGGCGTCGTGTCAGTTTTATAGAATAGCATATAACACATGAGACCTTCGAGTCGTCGTGTCAATTTTATAGAATAGCATGTACCACATGAAAACTTCGAGTCGCCGTGTCAATTTTATAGAATAGCATGTACCACTTTAGACTTTCGAGTCGCCGTGTCAGTTTTATAGAATAGCATGTACCACATGAGACTTTCGAGTCGTCGTGTCAGTTTTATAGAATAGCAGGTACCACATGAGACTTTCGAGTCGCCGTGTCAGTTTTATAGAATAGCATGTATCACATGAGACTTTCGAGTCGTCGTGTCAGTTTTATAGAATACCATGTACCACATGAGTCTTTCGAGTCGCCGTGTCAATTTTATAGAATAGCATGTACCACATGAGACTTGCGAGTCGCCGTGTCAATTTTATAGAATAGCATGTACCATATGAGAACTTCGAGTCGTCGTGTCAGTTTTATAGAATAGCATGTACCACATGAGTCTTTCGAGTCGCCGTGTCAGTTTTATAGAATATCATGTACCACATGAGACTTTCGAGTCGCCGTGTCAGTTTTATAGAATATCATATACCACATGAGACTTTCGAGTCGCCGTGTCAGTTTTATACAATAGCATGTATCACATGAGAACTTCGAGTCGTCGTGTCAGTTTTATAGAATAGCATGTACCACATGAGACCTTCGAGTCGTCGTATCAATTTTATAGAATAGCATGTACCACATGAGACTTTCGAGTCGCCGTGTCAGTTTTATAGAATAGCATGTACCACATGAGACTTTCGGGTCGCCGTGTCAGTTTTATAAAGAAAAACATGAAGGTATTGTAAACAAGATATGAAATATATACAAAAATATCACACATACGGAAGTGACCTATGGTAAATCGATATAGGGCCATACCACTGGAAATACATCGATCATTTATACTCATATCCACTACAGTGACATATACATGGCAACACTTACATACTAGTACTTTACTTTCAGATAATCCATATAATTACAAATAGAGTATGGTAAAACACCCATGCAAGTAACTATGCTACTTTGTTATTATTATCTCTACCCCGATGACCCGCCGTGAATTGTAACACGTGTCAGAAAGGGAGATACGGGAGTGTTCAAGTGAGACATCGAGTGGTGATATCGATACAGAAGTGTCTAGAAAGCCACTGTGGAAGTTAATTTGTCATAATTATTACCAAAATATATTGACTCAATTAATATGCAAACGTACTATACCAATTTGCAACAATTATTCAATCATTTGTATGATGCGTAGAGGAAGCTAATAGGCAGAGGTATATTACTGTCAATCAATATGTTATAACTCTAAACGTAAAACAGTGTAGACTCGGAGCCTATCTTACACGGACACAATTTGAAGAAGACTCATTTTATCGACACTTAAGATTTAAATAAACCTATTCAGATAGCATTAAATGAAATAAAACGACAAACGTGTGTTGCAAAGAGCTGAACAATATTGAGGAAAATGAAAGATAAAGTATATTAAAGACTTTAATATAAGCAGCGTTTTCGTGATTCCTTATGTTCATGCATTTTTTCTGTTTATCAATCTGGGGGATACATGATAAGATGAAAGCCGATGTTAACCTGATAAAAATCAATTCAGCTATAAAGAATCATGTTTCAATTATAAAGAATGTCGTTGTAGCGTTTATAATCCCTGTTTTTACAGTCATTGAATGGATGGGACCAACAATGGGAGAAAGACGAGTCAAGGTCAGGTTCGACAGCGACCGGAAAAAAATACATGTCACCGATACCAGGAGGAAGCCATTGCGCATGCTCGATCTCCGTAAAATGACCGGGAAGATTCACTTCCGCAATTCACGAGACAAGGAAAGAAATATTATATCGGTCAGGCTTCCGAACGAAATCGATTTGGTACGGACTTCTTGTAACAAATAGTTATAAATAATTAAGATGATAATCTGATGTTCTCAATAAAAAGTACATCAACTTTCAGCTACCATTTTTATCTCCGTCCACCGTAATAATCTATGTCCGTTTTTCTTCACTGAAAATACCCGGTGATTTTTGTTTTCAATTCTGTCCTTTTTTTCTTTTTCAGAAAATCAGTTTAAAAACCTTCACATTTACTCTTAGTTGTGAAATTCAGTAATTTCGAAAAGTTTACTTTAACGAAGTTTTTGAAAAAAATGGCTAATAGAGATTACTTGTATTAAGGAATGCGATGTTCAACGTGTGAAAAATCGATATACGTACCGTTTTCCACGTTCGTTAAGAAATTACAAAATAAAACTATTACTCAGTAAGGTATGTTAGATGTGAAGTCAGGGACAAAAGACCTTGCAACGTAGTAAAATTTTGAAAATGATTTTCTGTAGGTACTACGCTTTCTGGATGAGGAGGAACGCGACGCATTCACACAACAGATAGAAGCCTTCCTTCAGGAGATGGGCATCAACAGGGAAGTCCACGAGTTTGATGAGAAAAGTATCATGGATATGGCCGAAACCAAGGAGGAGCGGCAGAAGATTCTCGATACTTTCTTCCGCGTTGTATGTGTGCAAGTACGTATCTGGTGTTATGCCCCACGATTACAATATATCTGAAGTAAGAATCAATAGCAGGCACTCGCTTTAGGTTTGTGATGTTTCAAACAACCATATCCCCTATATTGTATATTGTAAATATTTGATACAATTTACTTATAAAGGTAAAGTAACTTCACCAGGAGATAACAATCATATTTTGTGTAAGTAAATGTTTTGCTCCCCGCAGAAGCAAGACCAGCAAGATGGTTTGCTACGCCTGTAGTGTCACATCTAGATCCCCATAGCAGGAAAACCAACAAAGCCCAAGGAAAGGAAATATATCTTGATAAAAATGTTATGCCCTAAAGGGGCATTTGTAATTTATGTTAATAACTCAGTCGCTCGAGTAGCGTCATTATTGTTTTATTTATGGTACACAAAACACAGCAGTCACCGGAGAACTGGTCAACTCTTTTGCCCGATTAATACAATATCATAATTTGGATAAACTGATTGACGCTATATATTGTGATATTGGTTTAAATCGTTAAGGCTCACAAATACGCAGACTATGGATGTTAGCTAGGAAAATTCATACTAGTACGGCGATTAGCAAATAGCGTTCAATTACTATTTAGTACCAATTTAACATTTCTCGTAATTTTTCGCGCATGGATGTCATCGTAAACTAAAGGCCTTGCAAATAAATTGTATTTAGAAATTATTTAAACAAAGCTGAAAATATAAAGATCCCCGCATCAGTACCGTATGAGATGTGTTTTGAAGACAGCAAACGTAATTTATAGTTTATTACATTCTCAAGAATGGGTTGACAACCAGAGAAAGACCATAAGAAGTCACAGAGCACAAAACCTTCAGAAGTTATATCCCCCGAAACTTAGCATTTGGCTTTGATCAACATTTCCAGAAATGTTATTTAGACAAGAAGGTTCTTTTCCCAAGAAGGTGGTTTTCATCGGGTAATCTGATTTCTCCAACATTAAGTCCTCCCTGCGCGCTACCATCCCGGCCAGAAAGTTGTATTACTTGTTCATAATTGTTGTAATGGAAATAAAGATTATATTTATATATATATCTATCTGAAAGGGCTGTATGGTGAAACAATAAAGGGTCACTTGAATTTTTCCTTTGAAACTAATCGATATGTTTTCACCCGCATTACATTAAAAACAACCTTAGATGATGCCACACATTCAAAAGAAATCTTCTCTGTAGCTTTCTATTGAATTTTAATTAACATTTTATGAAATGACCAAGATATATTCTAAAAACATTCTAATCCCAAAGGGGGCTAGGGTCGGACCATAAGTTTCACTTATATATATATATACCTTCAAATAGAATCTTCTTTGAAAGTTACTGGTATGTTTAGACCAACGATTCATAAATAAACTTTAGACGATGAGGATCAAACAAAAGGGGTCTTTTGTTTGAATGAAATTCAAAAGGGAAAGAAAAGTTACTGTAAAACGAAGTTAGATTTTTATTTTTTTTATTTAGAGTAGTAAGGCAAACTCTGGTCTCTTTTTTACTTTTAACTTTCCCCTAACAAACAAAACATTAAATGTAATAACAAAGCTTCGATGAGTCGGATTTTTGTAATTATAATTGTGTGCAACTCAAGAAAATTTGTTGTTGAAGCAAACTAATTAGCATAAACTTTTTCTCTCGAAAAGGCGTTTGACCGGACACCGGGACAGATGGACATTAACAATTTAAGCGCAGAGGATATTAACAAGGTACAGAGAATACAGCTTACAAGGACAGAATTTTCAGAGGCCCTTGGGTTGAAACCAACTTCGGTGTTCGTTCGGAACATGTTCCTCCTGGTGGACTCCGACAATAGCGGTACCGTCAGCTTCCAGGAATTCCTAGACATGTTTATCGTCATGGCATCGGGTAGGGGATGGTTTAAATAGACACTTAAACACACGTTGTTTGTTTGACGAGGAAATCTGAGTTTAAATGTTTATTTTGATGCTTAATGTAAGTAACTTAATGTGAATTATTTCATAAGGGATACCATAAATACAGGATCAAACACGATTTACAATACTAATGATTTTATAGCTCAAACTCCAATGTAAGGAAGACGCATTGGGCTTCTTTATATATCATTTAAAGTAGGCTCAGCTGTGCTGTTTTGTAACAACAAAAATATTAAACAACTAAACAATTACAAACAAAAACCAAAAACGAATTTCTCTGTTAAATGTTACAGTAGATATTAATCGCCCGTTGTTAAAGGTGATTGTGAAGCTTCTTGCTATCGTTTGTAGTGTTTAAACTGTTTAAGTTGTCCGCACAACAAAATTCACGCCCTTCATTGACACAATGTACATGCATTGCGATATTTTTTTTCTAATACTTTATATATCTTATTGAACTCGTCACAAAATAAATAGCTTTCATTTCCATTTAATACAACTGCTGCAGTTAAACACTGTTCTATGATTTCAGGCAATGCGGATGATAAGGCAATGCTAATGTTTAACATGTACGATCTCCGAAGGCGAGGCTACCTATCACGGTCCGAGTTTGTCAAAATGATCAAGTAAGTGTCGACTGATCCCGCGGAACTGCTATATGGTCAACTATTATTATCTTGGTTTGCGGAAAACGTCAGCATAACTGAAACAGGAAAAATTATATCTCATGTAAAAGAACCTCAGAATCTGAGTATAAATTTAGATTATGGGATTATTGTTAGGTGTTCTTAGTTTTATGAGCTCACCTGGTCTACTTAGTGAGCTTATGCCTTGACGCAGCATCCGATTTCACTTTAAACGACTTTTTCTTAATAACGAAAAAGCCTAGGCTGATAATGTTTGGCTCATAGCAAACTAGGATGAAGGGCTACCAATTTTTTTTTTTAAATGAATGACCTTGAACTGTATTCAATGTCACAGGGGTAAGATTTTTTCAAATCTTTAAACGACTTTTTCTGAATAACCAAAAGGCCCAGAATGATGATATCTGGCCAGAAGCATGCTAGGATGAAGGGTAATCAAGTCATTTGAATTATTTTGACCCAAATTCAAGGTCGCATTTGGTCAAATATGCAGAAATCTTTGAATAACCTAATCTCAATAAATTTGTATAGGGGATCATTTTGTATGGAACTAAGATGTATTCATTTCATTCTGAATTATTGTTAAGATGGATGCCGCGTCTTTATCAGAAATAAATACAATTTCCTTGTTGGTGGCTTAAAAACGACGTGTTTGTTGTGTCTAAGATTGCATCGACCGGTATACTTTCCAGAATAACACGAAAGGCACCAGAACCAGTAATATTCTTTCCGATTTGTTCGGTGTATGATTTTTCCGTTTGTTGTCGTCTCTCTTTGATTCTTTCTTTCATTTTGATCGACTCTGCATCCAAATTTTGTCTATGTGTGTTATTTGTTTTCTTTATTATGTATCTGAAATGTATGACTGATTCCTCTGCCGTATAACCGTGTTGTAACTACTCGAACAGATCCCTGTTAGACCTGTCCGACCAATCGATCGACGACAGCGAGATCAACAGTTTGATTGACACCATGTTCCACACAGCAGGCCTCACTGCAAATCAAAATATCGACCTTAATGCCTTCAAGCGAATTTTTGCTTCCGAAGAGCACAAGCACACATTAGAGAACGCAACCCTCGGACTAGGAAGTAAGAGCCAATGGTGTTTATGTAGAAGATAGAACACCTGTTTTATAACTGTGTAGTTGATCACATTTAGTTAAGTAAGCTCTCACTACTTTATTAGAACTAGAAATTTATTTGCTCATTTGTTTATAAGTAGATTTGTCTAACTAGAATATCTTTTTGTATACGTTAATCAATTTGTTCTTCTCTGTTGCTATAACCCCTTGTAAAAGCAGTATAGCCATAAGGCATAAATCACACCCTATATTATGTGATATAATTGTCGAAGCAATGACATATCTGAAAGCTGATATAGTGTATGACATGGTATTTGCTTTACACTCTTAGCTATTTTAAGAGTGACATCAAGGTCTTTGTGTAGCTCCACAATGTTTCGCGATTTCACACTTTCATTATAAAATCACGGTATGTGATAAACTAGATACTAATTCGTGAGACTCATTTGTATTCAATATATAAATTGTTTTCTTAAACATAATCTAATAGCTGAAGGTCTTAGATAATCCTAATGTATATCAATCATGGTCAGTTTCACCTGTGCATAATTTTTATGTGTTAATGTTATATTTCCAGCTCTTGAAAAGCCTGCAGCTGCTCCCAAGGCCAAGGGAGGTAAACGAAACGAGCACAGAAAGACCTTCCTACAGAGCTACAGGTAAAACTGCCTGCATATAGGAAATATATAAATTGTATCTGTAGAAAAACCTTCCTACAGAGCTACAGGTAAAACTGTCTGAAGACCTTCCTACAGAGCTACAAGTAAAACTGTCTGCATATAGGCAATCTCTCTAATTTATTACTTCAACAAAAAACAATAAAATGAACACAATCATCGTCCATTAATCAATAACCAATCGAAACCTTGCTGTAGTAATTATCTGTTAAAACCATAAGTTCTAGTTCTTTCAAAGAGGTGATATACAACGTTCACGTTTTGCTGTATTTATATACAACGTTCCCGTTTTGCTTTATTTAAATACAACGTTCATGTTTTGCTGTATTTATATACAACGTTTCCGTTTTGCTGTATTTATATACAATTTCCCGTTTTGCTGTATTTATATACAACGTTCCCGTTTTGCTGTATTTATAAACAACGTTCTGTTTTGCTGTATTTATATGCAACCTTCCCGTTTTGCAGTATTTACGCTTTCGACATAGATTTTCATTGTTAGGACCTCCAGTTCCTCCGACAATTCCGAAGCTGTCAGTGGTATGGTTAAATGTATCGGGTTTCGGCACCGATTTATTCAATATTTAAACAGGTGCTGCATAACCGGATATTTTGTGTGATTCCTGGTGTACATTTCGAAACATTATTTTCTAATTACACGAAAATATCTTTTCATTTAACATTTTTAGGATAGTTACTATTTGTCAGTTAGGTTATGATTCGTTTAGGATTTCAAGGTGTTATCATTTTATTGATGAAAGATTCACTTGATATTATATTCCAACAATTGAACCAGCAAATCGATTTGTGTGTTACATATTCAGAGATAGTTACGGTGATCATTCACATAATATAAGTAACAGCAGAAGTGTAATGTGACACTAACCTCTTTATGTTATGCTCATCAATACCGAGAGATTGGTATGTTGTTAGTATGTAGAGAAGCACTTCTATAGGTAAACGGACGTTAGATTCCGGAAGATATGATATTACTTTGAACTTTAGTCAATAACATCGGAATAATGACTGCGGATTGCACATTCAAGCATATTATTGCAGGGAAGGACACTTTAAGTACTTAACAGCGTTATGTATTATTCGAATGCTAAAAACCATTTGAAGACAACAAGAGAATATCGAAGAGTCAGCAAAAACGTATTTGTAAATAAACGAAATATTCACATGAATATCTTGCATGTTGTAAGTTTGTCCGTCAGAAATCGACATGAATAAAAAATCGCAGCAACCCTGGGAGTACCGAATCTACTGCGACATGTAAATTTGTGGGTTGTGTAAGCGAGCTGTTACTTTTAAGGAAAAAATCACGATCGAAAAGTCGATAGGGGAAGTGTGTAAGGTAGAAGAGTGGATGGTTTCTTTGATTTAAAGCTCTGTGGGTACGTGAAATTGAAGGACTTGGCTAGGATTTGTTTCCAAATCATGATACTTGATATTCAGCTTAATATGCCAACAAAACGAAATCGACCAGAAGAGAGGCAGAGTTTGTCACAGTCTGCAAGAACATCTTGCCACCGAACTCAACATAGATTTTATCGACCAGTAACTCAATTTTACTCATAAAACCGTCCTCAGTATATTGCATTTTGACCTTTATTGCACTTTTCACAAAATATGCACCAAAATAATTTACAGCCACATAATTGTATAGCGTTTGGCTTTCTTCGAACAGTAAGAGTAAAAATCTGCCATTGCGTTAAATAGATTGTTTTCAATACGGTATAATCGAAGCTGTCATTTCGTTATAATAGAAATAATCGGGTATAATAGAGGTTTGTCAATTTAGTAAAATAGAAGTTTGTCAATCCGGTAAAATAGAAGTTGTTAACCAGTATAATAGAAGTTTGTCAATCATGTATGATACATGTAGAAGTTTGTCAATCCGTATAATAGAAATTTGTCAATCCGTATAATAGAAAAGTGTCAATTAGTATAACAGAAATTTGTCGATCCACTATTAAAGAGGATTGTCAATCCGGGATAATAGACGTTTGTCAATCTGTATTATAGAAGATTGTCAGTCCGTTTTATAGAAATTTGTCAAACCAGTATAATAGAAATTTGTCAATCCGTATAATAAAAGATTATCAATCGTTTATGATAGAAATAATCCAGTATTGTCAATCCGGTATAATAGAAACTGTCAAATCCCTGTAATATAAGTTTTTCAAATTGGTTTTATAGAAGCTGGTCGATTCTGTTAAGAAGAAGCTTGCCAATCCGTATATTGGAGGTTTGTCAATTCAGAATGATTGATTCTTGTCGATTCAAGTGCAACACAATTTCTCTATCAATACCAATGCAGGATTTATTTCGTAGAATTAAAGCTTCCAAGTCCTATACATTTGACACATGTTACATGTTGGCGAATGGCTCCTTCGGACATTTATATATCGTAAATAACTATTTTTCAAGTGGCAATAAAATCAATGTGTTGTATATAATTAAAAAACGAGTACATAGATACGTTAATTAACACCTTACATTATCTAAAATAATGCGCTTATCAAAACTGGTAGAACGCATGTTATCATAGCTCTATACTTTTAATGATATATACTATGTGACTACTTTCCAAAGCGCTTTCTAGTTTTGAGAAGTTTTTTTTTTTTATTATTTAACATGTATTTCTGTTGTTAATTATAAGACAATGACGTGTAGCCTGAATATTGAACTTTTCCTACAGAAGCTTTTGCTATGTGTGCTTTGAAGTACTATGATATGGTATTTTCAGAATGGGGAGGAACGTTCGAAGTGATGGGTAAGAATCGACTCGGAACTCATAGAAATAGTGTCACTCTCAATTCTACCAAAACACCTAACGCCGACCTTAGTTCATGCTCTCAGGCTCTTTCCTTTTACACATATGAAAATCATTTAACACATCTAAAGCATTACAAATCAAGTACGTACATGACACCAAACATCTGAACTTTGTAATTTTACTACTACGCGTGGTATTGAATAATGTATTGTACTACTATGTATTACTATGTTAACCGTGTATTGTACTACTATGTAGTACAATGTTAACCGTGTATTGTACTACTATGTAGTACTATATTAACTGTGTATTGTACTACTATGTAGTACTAGATTAACCGTGTATTGTACTACTATGTAGCACTATATTAACTGTGTATTGTACTACTATATAGTACTATGTTAACTGTGTATTGTACGACTATGTAGTACTATGTTAACTGTGTATTGTACGACTATGTAGTACTATGTTAACTGTGTATTGTCCTACTATGTAGTACTATATTAACTGTGTATTGTAATACTATGTGGTACTATGTTAACTGTGTATTGTACGACTATGTAGTACTATGTTAACTGTGTATTGTACGACTATGTAGGACTATGTTAACTGTGTATTGTACTACTATGTAGTACTATAATAACAGTGTATTGTACTACTATGTAGTACTTATTAACTGTGTATTGTACTACTATGTAGTACTCTATTAACTGTGTATTGTACTAATATGTAGTACTATATTAACTGTGTATTGTACTACTATGTAGTACTATATTAACTGTGTATTGTAATACTATGTAGTACTATGTTAACCGTGTATTGTACTACTATGTATTACTATGTTAACTGTGTATTGTACTACTATGTAGTACTATGTTAACTTGATTGAAGCTAAAAGTCTATTAGATGTGTATAGCAATGCATACAATATGTAACTAACATGACAAAAACTTGTAACTGCTCATACGTAATAATAAATAATTCGAGGTTCTTGTATACCGCTTTATCACAACCTAGTTCGTAGGTCGTCTCAAAGCGGTTCACAAATTATTATCCGTGGTTATAGGGCCTTTGCAACCCAGGTAATACCTTTCTCAACTCCCTGGGGAGCATACAGCCGGAGCTGCCATTTCGGCGCTAACAGCTAGCATTCAACAGTTCTAGCATTGCTCAACCACGTACTCATTTACAGCTGAGTAGACTGGAACAAGCGGAGTAAAGTATCTTGCTCAAAGATACAACATAGTGCCGTGCCGTTCCTAGCCGTGACTCGAACACGCAACCCTTCGGTCCTACCACTAGACTACCGTGCCTCCAATAGGATGCTATAGGAATAACTCCGTGAACATAATGTCCAATAAGTTTCCAATCACACATTGTCATTATACCTGATACCAAATTTATATACAAATATCAAACTTTGTCAACATACTTATTTTCACACATTGTCAATGTAGTAGATCCTGGATTTAAATCTGACTGGATGAACGACCCTTTACTCTATACAAAGTATCAAACATTTTAAACATAATGATTAACCACATTGTCAACAAAATAGTATACCACAATGTCAACAAAATAGTATATCACATTATGAACAAAATAGTATACCACAATGTCAACAAAATAATATACCACAATGTCAACAAAATAGTATACCTCATTGTCAACAAAATAAAATACCACATTATGAACAAAATAGTATACCTCATTGTCAACAAAATAAAATACTACATTATAAATATAATAATATACCATATTTTCAACATAGAAATAAATCACATTGTTAACCTAAAAATATACCACATTATCGACATAAAAATAAACCACATTGTCCATATTATGATATACCATATTGTCAACAAAGAAATATACCATAATTTCAACATTATAATATACCATATTGTCAACATAATAGTATACAGCAATATTAACATTCATGCTGAACATTCCTGTTCAACTTACATATGATATAACACCCTTGCCGATCACACACATCCACTCTCTGAAGACATGTTGTAGAAGTACTTGGATTCAAAAATTCGACAGTACCGCTCACAGCTTATGTCAAAAGTAACATGGTTTTGAAATACTGTACTTTTCAATGTAAATACCATTTCATTCAACAATCTTTATGAAAGGCGCGTTGTTTAGATTTATATGACTATTATTCAGAATGAGCAAACAAACTTACATATAGCATGGCTACTACTTAGTATGTGTTTGCATGTTTGCTTGTTTACTTTCATCATATCTTTATGTTGATTTCCTAATATGATTTTCAAAATGTGCTTTTGATTTTGTAGATAGATACCTCTTGGTATTTCTAAAAAAATGAGATGTTTTATTGCCTTTTATCTTAACTGCATATTTTACACTTTTGCTAAATAGATTCCTGGTTTTTGCTATTTCGTCCACGTTTTTTCTACATTCTAGTATTCAGTACAGTATGAACGTTCCGCGTGTTAGACATTCTTCTATCCTTTACACTCACTGGTTAAAAGTTTACTGTCGTCCTACCAGCTACATGTATGCAAGCATTTAGTTCGACCGCCGTATAGAATATGACATATTATGTACCAAACTGAGCAAAGTGGTCGGTATTATTTGATTATTTCATGACATCTGGATGGACGTCTTGCTACATGCGTGTCACAGGTCATTCTAATTATACGATTGATGGCATTCTGTTGTTAGTTCAGTTATACACGTTCGCGAAATCTTGTCTGGTTTTATATTTGTACTGCAATACGTTTGTGTATTTTTCTGTGAAGACTTTTAAATGCTGTGATTTGTAATTGTTTTATACAATTACCTAGGTTGTGGGTTCGCAAGACAACAAACACTGCTATGCACATCTCAAGTGATAACGAAGGAACTAACGCCCTAACATACTGGTATATTGTGGTTTACACACAAGAAGGGGATAATATAATGTTATAGTATTATAATGTAGCTGTAATCATGATTTAAGATATGATTTAACTTATACAATAACATACCTATCATTAACAATCTCTGTATAGCCGAAGAAATTGATCATGTTACACATTTCTATTCATTACTTTAATTTAAAATTTCTTCATTAATAAAACTGAAAACAACACATATTGTTTTTGCATTAAAGTCCTCAAAAAATACGCATGTTTTTGCATTTATTTACAATTAAGACGACAATATATGATACTAATCTTATGTGATTTGGGTGTTTCAGTGTATGTTTAACAGAACTTTCGTATACATATCACCCTGTATATACATGTACATATCACCCTGTATATACATGTACATATCACCCTGTATATACATGTACATATCACTCTGTATATACATGTACATATCACCCTGTATATACATATCACCCTGTATATACATATCACCCTGGATATACGTATCACCCTGTATATACATATCACCCCGTATATACATATCACCCTGTATATACATATCACCCCGTATATACATATCACCCCGTATATACGTCCCACCGTGTATATACATATCGCCCTGTATAAACGTATCACCCGGTATATACGTATCACCCTGTATAAACATGTATATACGTATCACCCTGTCTATACGTATCACCCTGTATAAACATGTATATACGTATCACCCTGTATATATACAGGGTGATACGTATATACAGGGAGATACGTTTATACAGGGAGATATGTATATACAGGGTGATGTGTATATACAGGGTGATATGTACATGTAAATACAGGGTGATATGTACATGTATATATCACCCTGTATATATACAGGGTGATATATACATGTACATATCACCATGTATATACATATTACCCTGTATGTACATTTCAACCCGTATATACATATCGTCCCGTATATACATATCATCCTTATATACATATCACCCCGTATATACATATCTCCCTGTATATACATATCACCCTAGATATACGTATCACCCTGTATATACCCTGTATATACATGTCACCCCGTATATGTGACCCTGCATATACATATCACCCTGTATACACATATCACCCTGTATATACATGTCACCCCGTATATGTGACCCTGCATATACATATCACCCTGTATAAACGTATCACCCTGTATATACGTATCACCCTGTATATACATATCACCATGTATATACGTATCACCCTGTATATACTATCACCCCGTATATACATATCACCCTGTATATACATATTACCCTGTATATACATTTCAACCCGTATATACATATCGTCCCGTATATACATATCACCGCGTCTATACGTATCACCCCGTATATATATATTACCCCGTATATACATATTACCCTGTATATACGTATCATCCCGTATATACATATCACCCCCTATATACATATCACCCCGTATATATATATTACCCCGTATATACATATCACCCCGTATATACGTATCAACCTGTATATACATATCACCCCGTATATACATATCACACTGTATATACATATTACCCTGCATATACATTTCAACCCGTATATACATATCGTCCCTTATATACATATCACCGCGTCTATACGTATCACCCCGTATATATATATTACCCCGTATATACATAACACCCCGTATATACGTATCATCCCGTATATACATATCACCCCGTATATACATATCACCCCGTATATACGTATCAACCTGTATATACATATCACCCTATATATACGTATCACCTGTATATACATATCACCCTGTATACACATATCACCCTGTATATACATATCATCCTGTATATACGTATCACACCGTATATACGTATCACCCCGTCTATACGTATCACCCCGTATATATATATCACCCCGTATATACGTATCACCCCGTATAAATATATCACCCTGCATATACGTATCATTTATATATACGTATCACCCTGTATATACATATCACCCTGTATATACATATCACCCTGTATATACATTTCACCCCGTATATACTATCACCCCGTATATACGTATCACCCCGTATATACATATCACCCCGTATATACGTATCAAC